TATTTTTAGATTTTGGTTTCTGGAAAGATCTGTAGAAAGGTAATATGTAGTCATACTCAATGATTTATACAAATAAACTGTGTGAATTTGGATAATTTTATTATTGTGGAAATAGGCGTACTCACACTCTCTCGCTCACTCTAACTCTCGAATGTTTAAGTGTATTTAAGTATGTGTATATATATATATATATATATATATATATATATATATATATATATATATATATATATATATATATATATATATATATATATATAGATAAACTATCAACATATATAATGTTTATATATAATACATTAACATTAAAATGTAGACATTTTAAACTTATTTAAATAAAAAAAAAGGTCTTGTTCTCGTAAAACAGTAAAAACATAGCGTCCAAATAGGTTGTTCCAGCCTCTCACACACTTGGCTCAAGTTGGCTGCTTTTTATAAATCGGTTTAGGCAATTCTCATATGTTCTAATTTACTTTTTGTGCTTGTTTATTACCTGTCACACCTCGTGCCGTCTCACAGTTACGCCTGCAGGAGAAACAAATGCGCGAGCTTGATCTTCAGCTCTTCGGTCTCTAATATTCAAAGCGCTCCCGCGGTCGGATCTCCGCGCCGGGCTCTGCTGATATTCGGGGTCCAGGTTTGCATGTGACGTCAGGCCCCGGTGACGTCAGAGCCAGTGTCTGTGTGTTACTCTTCCCACAGGCTCTTCGGCCAGAAGTTATTAGTCAGCTCGGGACGAGGCAGTTTCCCATTCCATTTCCTCATCTGTAGCCTTCTGCCTTAACCCTCCTGTATGGTGGATATTCTACCGCATCCTTCTTTCTTGGGTGATATGGGGGATCATTCAAAAAGTAAGTGAACATTCGTGTTATACAGAAGTTTTCGTCCTTGCATAGGGTTATATGCAAAATTAGAGCTGCTAGCAAAACAGTTGCATTAATAACATTCAGTATTTTGTTGCGCGACATATTCAAAAACAACAAAACAATTTGGCTGCAGTTAATAGTAATTAAGTAGAACACAAAAGAAGCTCCACTTGCATGTTAAATATAGGATGCATAAAACACGAACTATTGCTGTATTTACACGTCGGTGGTGTTTTGGGGGATTAAATGCATATGGGTGCAGTCGGTGGACTCTAATCCCTGCTTTCCATATCCAGAGAAGTCTGGAATCGCCATGTGTGTCGGCTGTGGAAGTCAGATCCATGATCAGTACATACTGCGGGTGTCCCCGGACCTGGAGTGGCACGCAGCCTGTCTGAAGTGCGCAGAATGCAGTCAGTACCTGGATGAGACGTGCACTTGCTTCGTCCGAGACGGCAAGACTTATTGCAAGAGAGATTACGTACGGTACGAGCAACTATATTTGTGATTTCACAGCTTGGGAATTTCGTCGAGGCCCAGTTTTTCACACAATCTTGACCCAGACAGATTTAGAGATATGGAGAATAATGTTTTGTTGTGTTTTACGTAAACTGGAGATAAAAGCAGCGTTTAGAACAATCAAGCCCTATTTTATTTATGTTAATAAAGTTGATTAAGCTAAATGTTACAATAGAAAATTTAAAATAACTGTATTAAGTGGAATTATTTAGTTTTCAGCACAATTTAAACTGAACGTCCATATTTCATGGCTCGAGTGTTTGGCTAATGTATTGCAGTCGTGTTTGGTTTGGGTTTGCCATGCTTGTTACTGCTGTTTGTTCAGTTTTATTTTAAAGTTTGCTTTGTAAAGAAATGTAATTCCATTGGCAACAGTTTCTGCAAAGCTTATATGTGCGTAAAGGATATTCTAGATAGTGCATTGAAGCGCACGCTTAAAAAAATAAATGTTTCAGAAAGTATTGTGTTGCGATGCCACAGAAGAAGATTTTTTCTGGGTTTTCTAAAATACATTTCAGTGAATGACTCTTGAGATAATCTAAACAGCCCATTTGCACTATAAAGAGTCGGTGTGGAATTTAAAGTTTCCATGGATGATGATAGCCTATCGTTTGTTTGTTTGTTTTTTTAAAAACACACTGTATTTTATAAGTTACGGCTATATGTTCTGTCTTAAATATATTAAACATAATTTTAATACACTAAAACGTATCTATTAATATATTTGTAAACCAAATAATAGTAATAAATGCATTAAAACAGTGTTAGAATGTAGCCTATAACAGCCTTTATGATATATATTATTGCATATAACTTTATTATCTTTACTTTTTAATTTAGATTT